CTCTGAGGCTGGGCCAAGCGCATCTCATGAGAGTCCAAGAGAAACTACAGGTGTGTCCGAGAAGGGGACGGGGAGGGACAGACACCTGTAGAGGGTGACAGCGAGCCCCACGCCTCAGAAGTGCCAAACAACCAGCTCGGCAGTGGGAGAGCAGAGGCCCACAGTCACTGCTGCGGGGCCTCCCAGCCGTGACAGTGGAGGGTAGGCCACACCCAGGCTCAGGACATGTAGGAAGCAGGACACGGTGGTGGTCACACCAAGGATCAGGAGGATTTGGAGACCTGAACCAATAAATGACAGGCTCAAGAAGCTGGAAGGATGGGGCCAGGGTGGGTGACAGCCCTGCTGCCCAGACCTGAGGCCAGCAGGCCCCGGGTGGGGCAGGGAGGACAGCACAAATGGAGGTCACCAGGTGCAGGCTCTGCTTGCCATGGCGCTGGCCACAATAGGGCCTGGGAGCTGCTGGCCCAGACAGGCCCGGACAGGCAGCGGCCCCGCATGGGCCCAGGGCCTGGGCCTCTGCTGCCACTCCCTGTCTGTCTACTCTCAGAGGGAGCAGCCCTGGTCCATGGCTGTGACCCTGTGGGAGGAGTACAGCCTCGAAGCAGCCCCACAGCAGCATGGGGCGGGCTCCCGGGTAGTTCTGCACCTCCACCCCTGGCTCTGGGAAAAGCATATCTTCTCTCTGGACCTCAGTTTCCCTATCTGAAGACCGGGGCAGTGATGAGAAGTGCTCTGAGCAGAAGGCTGCCCTCTGAGAGTCTCCCTCACTCAACAGGCTCTGCCCACTGAGCTCCCACTCCGTCTGAGAAGACACTCATCCAAAGTAAAGCGGGCATCGGGGTCCCTGGAGGTCCAAGTGACATGCCAAGCCCTGTCTGTGGCACTCGGCAGAGCTGGACCACACTCCTGCCCTGAGCAGTCACATGTCCACCCAGACCCTTGAACTTGTCCCCTTGCCCTGGGGCCCTGACCAAAATGGGAAGCCCACCCAGCCTGCTAGGGGGTCAGAGGGACTACTCAGCTGACCCTCCAGAATGCAGCCCAGGCAGGTGGTTCTGGGCACCCCCCACCCGCACACCCCCTTGGACCTCGCCCAAGAACCTGCACCCTCTTGCCGCCCCACAGGGTCCTGTCTGCAGCTGGGACGAGCTCCATCGTTTCCCCAGAGTCACAGTGTACCCTGGACTCCCTGAAGGGCCAGAACCAGGCAGCCACCAGGAGCGGCATGGGCTTTCTAAGCACTGCCCTGTGCAGAGCAGGTTAAGTTGGGTTTTGTGCAAAGTCACACGAGTGACCAGAGAATGTGGAGACACAGAGAGAGAGCAGAAGTTGCTGCACCCAGCTAGTATCGCAGTGTCTTCCTACCCTCGTCATTCCCGGCACACATGTATACAGGCGTCAGGACTGAGTCCTCCGGAGCAGACTGACCTGCACCTAGGCACAGCTCTACAGTGAGACCTGGAAGCACCAGAGACAGGACAGTGGCTCCCGCCAGGGACTGAGCCACAGCTGACACCCCAGCACACACGTTTCTAGAGAGCTTGGTTTTGAACCAGGCGAAGTGATCTGCTGTTGGAAAAAAGCAAATTACCAAAAGGAAAATCACAGACACTAAACCAGAGTAGTGGTTTCCACCTGAGCTGGCAGCAGACACACTCACCGGACGCCTGCCACCTCCTGTGCCTGAACCACAGCACGATGGCCACATCTCCCCTGAGGTCTCCCTTAAGGCTAGCACGGGGTGGGAGGAGCTGCAGGCCCACTGGGCTAAGCGGGCTGGCTAGGCCTATCTCCCCAGGAGACACAGGGACCAGCACAACCTGTCTGTCCTGTGGCCTGAGGGCAGCTAAGGGTGGCCCTGCCATCTGGGAAGAGGGGCCTGACAGCCCTGGATACTTCCCTTGGCCTCCTCGAGAGGACCCTGGGCAGGGAACAGCAGCACTGACCGGGCATGAGTAGCCACAGTGCTGCCCTGGGGTGGGGGCTGCCTGTCCTCTCTGCTTAGTACAACCAGGAGACAGGTGCCACAGGAAACAAGAATGACAGCAAGAACCATCTATGCAGATTCTCCAAGCAGGAGAGGGGAGGCCAGCAGGACAGCCTGGAGCCCCCGTCCCGCACAGGACCCAGCCCCTGCCACTGTTAAACAGGAAGCAGAGAGCCAAGGCCGGCTCAGGGGCTCCACTCAGGCTGTGGCCAATCATTAACTGTCCCCAGGACCATGACACAACCCAGCCAGGCCAGACCCTGGCCCTCCTCAGCTGACAACCACCACTACCAAGTTAAGGAGTGCCTACTGTGTTCACGGCACACACAGACACAGGAGATGATCTCCACAGCCCTAGAGAAGCCAGACAGATGTGCAGGAGGTGGGGGAGGGGGGTCTGCTCAGGGCACTGAGAAGGGAGGGTGTGGCCAGGACAGGGGGCCTTCCCAGAGCAGAGGGGTGAGGGAGAGGCCAGCCCAGGACACGGGGCGGGGTCTGGAAGTCTGTCCTGACACAGGGGGTCTGGGTGGGGACTTGCACTGACATCCTCAGGACAAAGGCAACAGGACACGTGCATGCAGGCCACACCTCACCAACACGTCTACACCTAACTGTCTACACCCACCCCTGTGCTGGCAGGAGCCTGCCAGTCTCTGGGGTGGGTTGCAGGGGCTTCTCTACCTCTACAGCGTTGCCCCGGGACTCCTCCAAGACCCCAGTGAGGGATGTGCCCCCCCAACCTGGGGGTCAGGCAGGTTCCACTCCAGGCTGGGTGTTGCTGGCTAGCATCCCGCGTGGGGCCACAGGACAGGTGCCACACACTTCGAGACTGAGTGGCTGGGCATCAGTGTCCCTACTGTGCTTTGCACTGGCCACTCTGTGTCTCGATGTTCCTGTCTGTGGAATGCAGGCAACAAGCCTCCCTTGTGGGTTATTTGGGGAGGGAACAAGCTACTGTCTGGAGGGCAGCTCGGAACAGTGCCCAGCCGTGAACACTCCCAGGACCTGTCGCTACCATGGTATCATCTGAACTCCGGGAAAAAAAAAACACTACTGTCTAGCAAAAGGGGCTGACCTAGAGGTTATGACTTGCGCAGAAGCCCCGTACTTTCCAGGGCAGGCTTGGAGGGGCAGAGGAAGGCATGTGGAACCACCCCCGAGCCCTGGTCTCACTGCGGTCTGGGCTAGCCTGTGAGCTGCAGTAGTTCCCAAAACCCATGGTGCTAGCCTGTGAGCTGCAGTAGTTCCCTAAATCCATGGGCTAGCCTGTGAGCTGCAGTAGTTCCCAAAAGCCTGCGGCCTGGGGTGGGCAACCCACTGGAGGAGAGGGACAGTCAGAGCCGCTGAGGCAGAGCACACAGCCCCAGATGGCCTTTGGTGAGTCCCAGGCCTCCAGTACAGGCTCCTTGCTCCCACGTGCTGGCTCCACGAGCACAGGTCCCTTCCACACGCCTGAAGAAGATGCAGGGCAGGCACAGCCCACTCTCGTCCAGCTTACACATGCCTGTGGAAGCGAGACCCCCCAGGAAGCTTCCAGAGGAGAAACAACAGGAAGGAAAGGCTGAAATGACAGCTGGGGAGGAGACGCCCCTTCAGATGGGATTCGAGGTGACACTTGCGCCGAGACATGAGAGAACCAAGATCAACCAGGAAAGACAGGCAGGACGGGGCTGGCCTGCCGGCGAAAGGGTGAGGAGGCCATGGTGTGCAGGGCTCCGGAGGCCACAGGGAGGGTTTCTGTTTCCCCTCCGGGCAGGGGATACACAAGGGGCAGGCAGGGTGGCCATAGATCCGGAACATGGCGGCATAACCGGTCTCCTAACCTGCAGTGCTGGAATCCCGTGTATTAAGTGCTAAGGAAACAGTCTGCCATTAGCATCACCAAAAGGCAGAAAACAGCCTTGGGACCACCCCTTCTCAGCACAGTACGGCATGGGCAGTCCCAGAGCCATCTTAGGCCACAGGTGTGCCTGCCAGGACCTTCAGGCTGTGGTGAGCACAGACCACAACACCCGTGTCCTGCGCTCACAGGGGCCTTGACTCTGCCTTCCATCTGCCCAGCCATGAAGCGGTAGGGCCACTTCCCCGGCCACCAACCCTGACCCTGAGCTCTCTACAGACCCTAGCAGCCCCCAGAGTTGAGATGGGAACTTGGAGAGGACTCGCTGCAGGGACCCACAGTGGGTCCCCTAAGCTCTCTCCAAAACCCAGCCTGAGGCTGTGGGACTCCATGCCATGGGCTCCCGGGGCTCGGGAAAAGTGAGGGGACGGGAAGCGGAGTGTTCTCTGGGACTCGGAGTCCAGCAGACAAGGGTCCCCCAGAACGCTGCCCGGAGCACACCTCACGGGGTCTCTGCACTTCCTGAGGGCCTGACCAGCATTTCCACCACGCTAGTTCCTGGGCGACAGTGGCTCCCGCAGCCCCTGCAGGCTCTGACAGTATCTCACTTCCTTCTCCACTCACCTGGGCTCAGGCAAGAAGGGCGGTATTTGCTTAGCAAATACAGACCTGATAACTCAGCCAGACAAGCAGCATTTGTTATCAGCCTGCTAACCACGCAGTGGCCCAGGAGGAGTCTTGGGGCTAGCCCTCCCTCTCCCCCACTCAGAATCCTCAAGGCTGAACGATGCGAACCCCAAAGTATCCGTTTTATCGTAGTCTCTGCAAAGTCCAGCACTGCCCAGCTTCCTTGCACCTCCTGACCCAAACAGAAGCTGTTTTGGCAACAGAAACACAATCGAGAAAGGGCCGACTGTGCTGCCACGCGGCCCGGCGAGACCCCGTAATTAGCTGCTCCTCCTGCAGCTCCAATACCCAAGCCCACCTGGCGCTGCAGGGTCTTCCGACGCGACAGCGGCGGCGGGCGCGGAGTTGCGACGGGGCATCTCCCTTCCCCAAAGCCCAGCCCGAGCTCGGAGGCCCCGGAAAGATGCGAGGGCCGGAACTGAGGAACCCCCGGGCCAAGCCCAGCCGCCTCGCACGGCCCGCGGGCGCCTCCCCGCCACCCACCTGCAGGGCGTCCAGGGTGCTGAAGCTGGCGATGGCGAAGCCGTCGATGACCTCCTCGTCCTGCGAGCTGGACTCGCG